ATCTAACTCACTATAATAAAAGCCCGCTGAAGACAGACTGAGATCACAGTCACAAAATATACATTCTATCTTCTTTCACAGCATCTAAATAGTATCCAATATATATGAAGTGTTGAATAGATACAAAATTAATACAGAAGTGGTAATGTTCAAATTACTGTAATCCTCATTGCCTTCCTTGAGAAAACCCTTAGAAAAGGTAAAACTTGCTGAATACGTACTTTAATGGGACAGTCAAAAGTCTCGTGAAATTCTTCTCCAGAATACAGTCCAAATACCTGCACCTAAAAAGAAAATGGATTGTCTCAGTTCATCATGACAGCAACAGAGAAGGCTACTAAGTCAGTATGCACACATACTATCAATAAGAAAAGTAAAACGGTTAATAATTCTAAGGCCCTATGACCTCTATTAAATATCTAATGAAAACAATCCCACTGACCGGGTGTGGTGGCTCACGCCTGTAATCCCAGCACCTTGGGAGGCCAAGGTGTATGGGTCACCTAAGGCCAGGAGTTTGAGGGTAAAACCCCATCTCTACTAAAAATATGAAGATTAGCCAGGCGTGGTGGCATGTGCCTGTAGTCCCAGCTGCTCAGGAGGCTGAAACAGGAGAACTGCTTGAACCCGGGAAGCGGAGGTTGTAGTGAGCCAAGATAGCACCACTGTATTCCAGCCTGGGTGACAGAATGAGACTCAGTTACAAACAAACAACAACAAAACAAAACAAAAAAAGAAATGTAATGAGAAACACTTGAAGCCACAACTCCCCCAAGAGATGATGACATTAAGATTTCATTACATTTGTCTTTCTCAAATTTCTCCTAGTGAATAGTCAGACATTAAAACATTAAGGATAAATTATAGAGTAAACACACAATACTCCTCAAGGTTATACATCAAGGTAGAGATACACAGCACTTACCTTCTTTCCTCCAGTCACAAACTGCTTGCAACTGGATCTCACGAAATGTGGGTGCACAGCAATTATCTACAAGAGAAACAGGACCCAATTCTGGTTTAGGAGTCATGGCTACAACACAGAAGGAAAACTCTTGATACAGTTCAAGCAGCATGATCTAAAAATTATCCTGATATCTCGGTAAGAAGTAATATATTCAAATAATATTTTACAACAACAAATGACATCTGAGTTTTCTTCTTACATGAAAAGATTTCTTCTCTGAAGCCAGGTCAAAGCTCAAAGACTAGAATACATCAGTTCTAGTTTCTGGTTGAGGACCCCTACCAGTGAATGCCCCCTGTATAGAGGCAGCAAACTAGGTCGGTCAAGACAGCAAGATGTTTCTAACAGGATACAATTTGCAGGAAAAAAAAAAAAAAAAAAAAAAAAAAAAAAAAAAAAATAAATGGGAAAAAAAAAAAAATCTTTAAAATATATTTTAAAATAGTCTTTAAAATAGTTAATAAAAGTAGAAAAAAACCTGATTTGACTTATTCCATAAGCAGATGTATTCTTTGAGAATTTACTGTATCCATAAACAGAAAAATGTTAACATATAAAAGTTTTTCTCTCTTATTTCATTTCACANCAGAGAAAGAAGCTGATACCTTGTCGAAGATGCCTCCCAAAGACAGATGGCACCAAGTGGCAAAGCAGCACCAGACATTTAGCCCACTTACACTAAAACCCATCAATGGAGAGAGAGAGCTACAGGCCCAAAGACCTAACCTTTCAGGACTTACCTTTTTACATACAACCTGTTCCCCTGGTTCTCATCTGCTTCCTACTCATCCAGTCTTTCCCCAGACCCTTGCTACCCAGGTTTCTCATCAGGCTGCTCCACCCCTCTTGTTACCGGTCCCTTCATTTGCAAGGAAGGGCTCTATGATCACATAACATCATTAACATGTCAGGGAGGGGGTGAGAACAAATGCCCTCGTAGCTCCACTCTGTGCACCTCCACCTTCCGGGCCCATCTGTTGTGGCTATAAGTTTCCATAGACTCTGCCTCCTTTCCTCTTTATCCCCAAACCAACCATGAAATCACCAACTTAACTAATTTTGTGTTTTTTAAATTTAACATAGAGAATATTTTTTTAGGTAAACACACACACAAAATCCCACACAATTATACTTCTATAAACCTTCAATTATGGTGGCTCATGCCTGTAATCCCAGAACTTTGGGAGGCTGAGGTGGGTGGATCACAAGGTCAGGAGATTGAGACCATCCTGGCCAACATGGTGAAATCTCATCTCTACTAAAAACACAAAAATTAGCCGGGCATGGTGGTGCGTGCCTGAAGTCCCAGCTACTCAGGAGGCTGAGGCAGGAGAATACCTTGAAACCAGGTGGCAGAGGCTGCAGATCGTGCCACAGCACTCCAGCCTGGGCAACAGAGCAAGACTCTGTCTCAAAAATAATAATAATTAAAAAAAAAACTCTTCGATTAAGCATATTTTATACTTGTATTAATTGATACACTTCCCTCCGTCAATGGAATAGATTCCTCTTCCTACAATGTCATTTTTAAGGCTTAGCATATGACCCTTCATTGCTCTAACCACTCCTACCTCCCAGGTTAGCCCTTCTTCCCTTCAACACTTTCCTAATCCATCCTCAATACCAATATTGAAGTCTTCACACAATGTTGTTTCACATTCTTAAAATCTCTCCTTAGCTCTCTTGTAATGCATAACTGTAGATCAGGACTGATTCCAAACATCTCTGCTCCTCAATCGCATTACATCACCTTTGTCTTCCCTTCAGATGTAAGAAAATAAAGCCATCAGGGTCATTGCCCACAAGTGCTCCTCCTTCACTGCCTAACTTGCAATAATTAGGCTCAGCCCATTTCCTTCATGCCTGTTTCACGGGTAGAGGGTCTAGGACTCTTTTCCAAGATTATCTTCCCTATTTAGGCTTTGATCTTATTGCTTAGTGTTGCTCTGTGAAGCATTCTTTTTCTTTTATTTTTAGTCCTTTTCTCTTTACTGGGTTTTGCCATGAACAAAAATATGATCGGCAGAAATCTTCCCTAGTCACGGCCCCTCTCTCTACCAGATGATCTCTCTTCTTTATTACCAAATTTCTTGAAAAAACAGTCTCTACTGGTTGTTTCTACTTCCTCACCTCCAATTTACTCCTTCACGTACAGTGACCCTCCTGGTGTGAAAAGGTCGTCGGTAAGGTCACCAGTAACTTCACAATTACCATGTAGAATGCCCTTGTTTCAGTCCTTCCCCCTATTTAATCTTCACACTGCATTTGACACCCTCACTTCCTCTTTCTAGAAACTCTCTCTCCTCTGGCTTCTCTGACACTACTCACTGGGATTGCTTCCAGTCCCTCCAACTGCTTCTTCTTAGACTCCTTTGCTGTTTTTTTCTTCTACAGCCTAAGTCTTCAAACTAGTGTTCCAGAATTCCACCATCAGTCTTCTCACTCTACAGCTCTGAATTGAATAACATCTTTAAAATGGCTTCAACTTATTCAACTGTGGTTATCATGTTTGTGTTTACGAACCAATCTCCATCCTGAGGTCCATATTCATGTTCCTAAAACCTTCATAATATCCTCACCTGATGTACTACACTTCTCTAAACTCAAGACCAAACTAGCCATGTCCTTACTCAAACATCCCCCACTGCAAGTGATGGCATTCCCATATCCCAATCCCAAAGCAAGAACCTGAACTGACCCTGAGCTCTTCCATCTTTCATCATCCTCATCCAAGCCATCACTAAGGCTTGCTAAGTCTGTCTAGCACAGGTGATCCAAATACATTTCATCCACTCCATCTTGAACACTCACTGTCACTCTTTTCATTGAGACCCTGTAATGCCCTGACTGGGGTATTATATTATGCTTCTAAATTGTGTCTTGTCCCCAATCACTCTCCTGTTTAAATCTCCCTCCATTCTGGCAAATTTAACTTTTTAAAACATACATCAGACCCTGTCTCTCCTTTTCCTACTGGTCAATAAATATTTGAATAAACAAGTGAAAAAAATAAATGACCTCTTCCTTCAACAACTATAACAGACACTTTAACTGCCATAACTGTTATCTAAAACTAGTCCTCCTGACATTTGTCTATCTATCCTTCAATCGATGCTGTATACAGTCACCATATTAATTTTCTTAAAACAGCTCAGTTTATTTACCTTGGTTTATAAATATTTAGTAATTTCTCCTTATCTACCAAATGGAGTTCAAATTCTTTGGCCTGAATGCAAAGTCAGCCCAATCTTCCTCCACATTCTCTTGTGAGAACAGTCTTTTATGTGCCAAATAAACTATTTACCATTTTCTGAATACAAGTTGAACTTTCTAGCCTCTCCATTTCTATTACCTTATTCCTCCACATGGAAAGCCAGCTTCTCCATCAGTCCCTGTCCATTTATTAAAGCCAAGTTAAACATCATTCCACCAGTGAAGCCATCACTGACAAGAACAGATAAAAATGACTCCTTTCAGCTTTGGAATGCTTAATATTGTTTCTACCTCTTTGAGTCTTTCATCACAGACTCACTCTCTCTCTCTCTCTCTCTCTCTCTCTCTCCCCCCCCCTCTC